AGTGCGACAGACGCCACGGCGGCGACGCGCTTCTACGTGAAGAAGAAGTTCTACAACAGCATCTTCGAGATGGAGGCAAGGCGGGAGACTGAGCAGCAGCGGCGGCAGTTGAGTAGTGGCGGGTCCGCGAGTCTGAACGGCAGCCAGGACGAGCCCGCGAGCAGGCAGAGTGACTCACTCTCCACCCCGCGCGACGTGGAGGGCACGCTGCCGCTCTCACTCACGACGGGAACTCGACGCCACGGCGAGCGGGCATCAAGGGAAGCGCCTGAGAAACTGCTTCGCCCGCTGCGTGCGCCGAGCGCCGAGGACGACGCTGTAAACCCTCGCGGCAGCCCTACTAACTGCGCCGCTGCGCACAAGGCCACCCACCCCACAGGGGCAACCGCGGGACAGGCTTCGCCGAGGCTGGCGGAGAAGGCACCGCAGGTTGTCCGTCCCGCCACCGAGGGAAACGCGACGGGTGCCTCGCGCGACTTCTTCGCCTCCTACCAGATTCTGCCGTACGAGCCCCGATTAGGACCCGCCCTACCGCATTGTCACGGCAACCAACACAAGGAGAGTGGCACCAGTAATAATGGCAATAATAGCCATGCGCATAATGCTGCCCCTTCGTGCTGCGGCGGCAAGGGCCAAGTGCACTCTGCGACGCATCGCCCCACGTTTGAGGACTCCGACGACGATATGGGCTCCGATCCAGGCCCAAGGGGAGGTAGCGAGATCGATCTTAGCCTGGCGCCAAGCGGCCTGCCCAAGCCAAAGGAGGTCAAGGTGCAAGCCATTCCGGCGGAGATGGGAAACCCGGAGCATTGGCGGAAGCGTCTTTTGCAGTTCAGCACCCCGCTCATGCTGCTCCTTGGGGTGCGTAGCATTGCCACCATCGGTCGTCGCATCTTGCGTGACATCCTCCTTTTGTCATCGGAGCACTTCCTGAATCTGTCGAGCGTGGAGAAGAACCGGCCAGCGCTGCAGCGTCGCACAAACTGGCTATGGCTGATCGTTTCCGCTATTGATCTTTTTTTGAACACGATACGATTGATGGATCGGGGCTGGTACAAGTATGCGACCGCGCGACACAGCACGTTGTACCACTGTCAATGCAAAGATGACGTGAAGACGGACCTCACGCGGCGCTACCGGCACCTTATTGCCCGGCGCAACGCGGACCTCTACTTTCCTGCCGTCGACTTTGACTTTGGCGCCCCGCTCTGCTCCTCCCCGGAGTACTTTGAGGCGGCGGCCCCGGAGCACATTGCCCCTGCCTGTAGGGCGTGTGGCTGCTTGTTTGTGGAGGGCCCCTCGGGCGCCGCCGACGAAATGGCGCCGCAGGCAGCAAAGGAAGGGCAGGCGTCGTTGAATGCGTTGAGTGCCACGAAGGAAGCAACAGCCGGTCACCAACAGAGCGGGTCTGTGCGACGGCCTCCCCAGCCCTCTTCCTGTGCGCCGACCCTCGGCGAAAGAGCCGAGGTTGTCATTCTGAAGTTGCCGTGGCTGGTGCGGAAGCTGATGACGCACGTGCTGCTGCTGCAGACGCACCCAAATTGGACCGCCACCATCCTACTGCAGCTGCGATACCTGACGGAGGTCTACCTCGCCTGCATGTACTGCTTCGGCGGGTACGAAACGGGCAAGAGCGATGCCGCACTGGAGGAGATGCTGCACCTCCCTGGCGCCATTGCCGGGTTGCTGGGGGCCGTCATCGGCCTCCATCGGGTGATGGAAAGTGCTCCGAAGTAGTTGGCGGGGCGTCCCCGCGGAGCGGCACGCGCCTCCAGCCCACGGCTCAGCAGAGTGCGACGTTCGTGAGCAAATGAAGAAGGACGAAGAGGGAAGACGTCATTTGGCACGTATTATCCGAGGGAAAGAAGCAGACAAGGCGATGGGGCGATGGGAAAAAGGAAGTAACGAGAGAACTGCACGACGTGAGACGCGAACGACGGTAGTTGCGTTTGCCGGCGTGCCTGAATGTGTGTGTTTGTGTTCGTGTTCCTCCGTTGTCGGTGGGAGTAGCCGCCCGTTTCCTTTTTTTTTTTTTTT